TACCATTTTGCTGATGCCCTGTTTTTCTCTAACTTCAAACTTTGTCAGCGCACCTCATTCTTCCCTAAGGAGAGGCAATAAAGTGGGCAACTTTGAAAAAGTATTTGCTTTTCAGCTAGGAGATGGGAAATACACAGACATGCACATGCCTGCACATATACATATACATGCACATATGCATACACACACATATCCACACCTGAATGTGTCTGTGTATATACAAACATATATCTAGGAGGGTAATGCATGGTTTGTCTACAGCTTGACTAATATAGTTGACAGTAGGATCTGTGCAGAAGTGAAGAGGAACAGAAGGGCAGAAAAGTGAAGAAGCCTCTGTCACCCCAGTTTTTGGCTAATTTGAGGGCAGGACAGAGCATGAACCTAGGGTCTGGAGCAGTGTGTAATAAGAGCTTTCTGGTAGCTTCAGTGGATAGAAGTTGCCTTTGAAGGTTAGAGATTTCTATCAAGGTTTAGGCAGGAGAAAGTAGAAATCAAGTCCCTCTGGGAGGTGGGAAGAATGCTAGCAGGAATAATCCCCATGGTTTCCTTGGCAGAGCTACCTAGACCAAAATTTGGGCTTATTTTCTATTTCCAGTAAGAAAGTAAGTTGGAAAGCAGAATTAAGGCAGAGCTCAGCAGGAAGGCCCAATTTTAAGTGGCCCATAGCCCAGCATTTTCTGAACTTTCTTGCTATCAAGGCAGTGCATATTCACTGAGAAAAACACATTTCAAAACAGGTAATGAAATGGAAAGTAAGTAACATCCAAGTAATTACCAAGATTTACATTCAAGTTTTATTTTTCATTAATTAGAGATGAGTGGGCATTTTCTCTTTGGGGTAGTTTATCGATGTGCCATGTCAGAAAATCAGGGTTGTGTACCATTGAGGGAGAGCTCATTGGTCTACAGGATGCGGATGGACTGAGACCCAGGGGATCAGCGCAACATCAGCTAAAGTGTTTGGACTGGGCTTGTGGGCAGCAGGAAACATGTCACATGCATGGGGAAGGTGGGGATGAGGAGAGCTGAACTAGTAAAATGTTAATTGTGTGTGGAAGTGTCAAGGATTCTGTGAAGGAAAAGCACAGGTAGCTAACAAGTTAGCTGGTAGTTTGAGTCAGGGAGAGTTAAGAGCACCTGAATTAGAAAGATGAAGGTGGAAATAAAGAGAATAGAAAGATTTGAGAGCTCTCAGGAAGCAGAATGCAGATAATATGGATGCTGATGAGAGCTGTTGGGTGAAGAAGGACAGATATTGTGAGAAATGAAGTTCTGTGTCCCAGTGACCAAAATGAGTGGAAGCTGACAGTTCTCATATGGATTTAGCTGGGAGGCAATCATAGGCCTCAGTGTTGGACATTCAGGGAAATGGAAAAGACATGAGAATAGGCTGTGGCAGGCTAAGGAACTAACTTCATTTTGGAAATGGCTTCAAGGAAAGGTGGCCCATAACCTATATTCCTATTGTTCTTACAGGTACCATCTTTTATTTCATTTCTACTTACTCTATATGATCAAAAATAAGATACAATGTCAAAATAATGACATGGTTCATGAGATCTGTATTTTCACGGCTTTTCAGATTCCTTTGCCATCTTTCTTGGGTTCAGCATTCTTAGAGCAGCGTCTAAGTCTCAGGTTGGTAATTCCAGTTCATCAAGGAAAGCTGGCATTGCATCCACACTCCAGTCCATATAATAGTTGAAAGCTATTATGAGAGAGCCAGAGAATGTCAAGCGGAATAGATCAATGTGCTAAAGTACAACATTAAGATACACTCTGCACAGTGTTTCCAAGCAGCTCTTGGAAGTAACAGATGGCTTCTATAAGGGAATAATATAAGAAAAGTACCTAAGTCATTTTCAACTTTGGCGTGCAGGGATTTTTAAGTCTCTAAATATAAATTCTATTACATTATGAGAGATTATAATCTCTAACATCAAGCTTGATGCTAGAAGGGAATTTGAAAGTAGGTCCTCCATTTCAACTCTTCTACTTTTAAATCCTGACCATACCTTTTAAGACAGGATTTAAAAAAAAAAAAAAAAAAAGGATTTCAAAGGAATCTCATAATTCAACCTGGTCTGTTATACAAAATGCATTGAGAGATTCATCCACCAATCCCATGGGGCAATGTAGAAAAGAGGTAGATCCTGAAATAACAGTGCTTCTTTGTTGGGTGTTTTATGCTCAGACTACACACAATACTACCCTGACAACCCATTCATCTCAGCCTTCTCTGTCTTGCATTATGTTTATAATATCTTCAGTTAGGCAATTGTGGTAAATCGCCTAAATTTCTAAAGTCTCTGTAGGTAAAGATGAAAAAATTAGTAACTGGTTAAAGTAGATTACAAATATAATCAAGTACGAAATCATTGCATCAAACCCTTATACTTATAGCATTAAAATATAAGTGAACTAGCCATCATTTTTGAAGTTAATTCCATAAACATTTTATGAATTTTAAAAATGATAGAAAAACGGGTACAATGATGGAGATAATTTACCTTGTGTATTTTCCACAGGAGGATTTTTTTTTTTTTTTTTTTGAGACAGAGTCTCACTCTGTCACCAGGCGCCAGGCTGGAGTGCAGTGGAGATCTCGGCTCACTGCAACCTCTGCCTCCCAGCTTCAAGCAATTCTCCTGCCTCAGCCTCCTGAGTTGCTGGGACTACAGGCACACGCCACCACACCCAGCTAATTTTTTGTGTTTTTAGTAGAGACGGGGTTTCACCACGTTGGCCAGGATGGTCTCGATCTCTTGACCTGGTGATCCACCGCCTCAACCTCCCGAAGTGCTGGGATTACAGGCGTGAGCCACTGCGCCCAGCCAAGAGAAATTTTTTGTAAGTTAATTTTTTAATACTGTGTGAAAGGGCATAAAATTTTGAGTTACAAGTCTTGGGTTTGTGTTCTGGGTCTACCATTTAACTCTGATTCACAGAAAGATCATTTTCATGTAGGACTTTCAGTTAAATCATCTATAAAGAGGAACTGCTAATATAAACCCTTCTGTTGGGTTGCTGCAAGAGCCTCACAGATAGCTAATGAGTGTGAAAGAATGTAGTCAGCTGCAGAGCTCAGTACAAATTTACAGCTGTCATAAAAGCATATAGTCATTGACTTAAATAGTAATATATATACATTTTTCTTTTAAAACTTTATTCATGAGAAATTAAGTATTCCTTGAGTAGTAATTCTAACTCCTTGAACAGTAAAACTGAGTGCACTTTCTTTTCTTGTAATACCCCATTTGATAGCAGGACAATACTGTTTAAGACTTTCCAAGGTTTAATGGATAATGGAGATTAGAGCTCCTTTTAAAAATGATCAAATTTGTCCTTGAATAGAAAGACATTGCAGTCAAATCACTATTCAGTTTGCTTGTCTTATTCCAACTTTCTAAGCTATTTCCTAGAGAATCGTTGAATATTTGCCACCTCTTTTGAAATTCACAAATGATATTTAGGAAAGAATTTTTATTTTAGAAAGATAAATGGTAACCAGCATTGAATGAGTATGTCTGGTGTGCAGAATATCTAGATAATGCTATATGACAGGAGGTCTGATGGGGCCAAAAATGAGAATAATAGAGAATTTTCAATGCTGGATAATGCTTTGATCTCCCCACCCACTTTCAATTAATTTACATCAACTGATTAATCTAAGGACCTAGGGATACTAGGGGCAGGACAGGAAGCCTTAGGGCCAACAATTACAATACATAGACATGTGTGTGGTGGCTTGCAGGGCAGGAGTCAAGGAGGGAGAAGATATGGAGGGAGGGATTGAGACATCTTCAAGAGCCAAATTTCCAAAGTTGAAGATCTATCTCCTGAGGACACACTCATCCTACAAGGAAGAACTCAGCAACACTGTGGAAGTGTTTTAAGGGAAACACAGGTTTATCCACTATCCTGGCTTCTGTAAGAACTCAGGGAGTAAGAGATAAAACAGCTATTTCTGGTGCTAAGAGCCACTAGGAAGCAATTGTTCCTCTTTTCCTGGGTGATAGCCAGTCTGCCTGTGTCATGTAGAATTCTGGTTGCTTCTTTTATGCCATGAAGGGCAAGGACGTCTTTGTGCTACTGCAGCTGCTATGGCCTTTCCCAGGCATTTCCTGTCCCACAAAATTGTAATTTTCCTGATTATGAAAGCTGTTTGAAGATTTCTTGATGTACAGTGGAAATCGTGCTGAATGATAAAAATCTCTCTCCTGTAAGAAGAGTGACATATTAGAAGACCCAGGGAGAAACGACCAGGATCATTTAACATTGCTTGAATCATTTCCACTGCTTTCTGTATTGAAGGAAAGATTGGGGGTAGAGAAGATAAGAATCATGGCATTGCTTCTCTTTGCCTTTCCTTTGGTCAGCCCCTATTCCTTGATTCCCATTTTAAAGATAAGCAGTATTGGTTGCTTGAGGATAGTTTGTCCTATCACAATCCTTAGATAATTGATAATACATATTCAGAGAGAATCCATTCCATGCAAGGTGAAACTCCAAGTTCCTGGGAAGCCAAAAACCTCAAAGGAAAAACAGAAATCTTATCAGGATGAGAATGTTCTTCTGAATGCATTTAATATTCTCAAAGGATTTTCTTGGAAGGATGGCTAGGGAAAGCATGCCTCATTGCTGGCATATGGTCAGAGGCATGGAGGAGATTTAAGAATCCTAGGAGAGGACAGGACTGGATTACTCTAACATTATATTCATTCTGCAGGCCAGGAGCTTATGAACATACATCACATGAAAAATAAAGACTGTCTCAAACAGAAGATAAAACATTGCGAAACATCCTGGGCCATCTTAGAATTTCTATGTCCTGGAAATGATTCCCTCCAATTTCTATCCAGTGCTGTGATTCTCTGCTTGAATCTAGTTTTGGCAGAACTTTTTTTTATGCCCAGGGTGTCAGAATTAAGCTCAGGGCTGTGATGTTTATCTTCCAGGAAGTCACTGGCACATTCCCACTCTTGGTTTGTTTTCAGATTTGTCACTTGGCTGACCTCCAAGCCTGCCCATCAGCCAGAAATCAAGAAGCCTGCAAGTCACAGCTGGATCCATTGGTGGAACAAAGCTCAGCTGCCAATTTCAGAAGAGAAAGCACTTTCTGCTCAGGAGTCACATTTAATTATGCAGAATTTATGTATTTTATTTTTTTGTAACTCTTGCATATTAAACCATAAATGTGAGCTAATGAAAGATAATATGTGTGAAACACCTAGCAGGGTTAGGCAGAGAGGAGACACAAAATGAAATCCATCTTGTTTGTTCCTCTTGTACTTCTCTCTCCCTCACTTTACAAGTAGAGTAATAACTTGTTAGAGATGGTTAATTAATGTAAACTTCCAAAAACAGTATCAACACAAAATGGTGCTCATATGTTTGTGAACGAAGATAGGAGGATACGATTAGAAAATGTAATCTACTTTCACCAAAAGACCCAAGATGAATGTCCAGTCGTACATTTTCATAGTGGGCTAGGTTAAGCTATATAAAATAACAAGAGCCTTCTAATTATTAGGATGTAACATGTTTTATAAAAGTATAACTCCCTGCCCCAACCAATGCTACAGCAAAATCTAACAACTAATCTTATTTCGAATATAATTTTAGAAATATGTTAGGAGCATCTGAAGTACATGCAGAACAAATAAGGAAACTAAGAAGATGCATTGAACATCTAAATAGCTCTATAGACAGTCAGTAGGTTTCGGAATTCAACTCTGAAAACTTCACCAATGCTTTAATCTTCTTCCCATTGTATATTTTCCATGATCTTATTCAGAATGTAGAAACTGTGTTCCTATTGTTAGTACTGAGGAAGAAATAGGTAAATATACATTATAAACTAAAAATTCACAGAATAAACAGATGATCAACAGAATGGGAGAAAATAGTTGCAAACTATACCTCTGATAAGGAACTTGTATTAGTCCATTTTCATGCTGCTGATAAAGACATACCCAAGACTGGGCAATTTACAAAAGAAAAAAGTTTATTGGTCTAAAAGGTCCACATGGCTTGGGAGGCCTCACAATCATAGTGGAAGGTGATAAGCACATCTCACATGGCTGCAGACAAGAGAAGAGAGCTTGTGCAGGGAAAGTCCCTTTTTTAAAACAATCAGATCTCATGAGACTTATTCACTATCATGAAAACAGCATGGGAAATACCTGACCCCATGATTCAATGACCTCCCACGGGTTCTACCCATAACATGTGGGAACTCAAGATGAGATTTGGATGGGGACACAGCCAAACTACATCAGAACTAATACCCAGAATCTACAGGGAACTCAGATCAGCAAGCAAAAAAGCAAATAATCCCATTGAAGTGGGCAAACTACATGAACAAACACTTCCCTGAAGAAGATATATAAATGGCCAAGAAACATATGAAAAAATGCTCAACATCGCTAATCATCAAGGAAATGCAAATTAAAACTACAATAACATACCACCTTATCTTAGCCAGAATGGTCATTATTAAAAAATCAAAAAACAATAGCTGTTGGCATGAATGTGGTGAAAACAAAACACTTATATACTGCTGGTAGAAATGTAAATCAGTACAGCCTGTATGGAAAACAATATAGAGATTCTCAAAGAATTCAGTGTAGATTTACTGTTTGATCCAGTGATCCCACTACTAGGTATCTATCCAAAGGAAAAGATGTCATTATATTTGAAAAGCACCTACATACACATGTTTATTGTAGCACAATCCATAATTATAAAGATATGGAATCAACCTAAGTGCCCACCAATCTATGTGTGGCTAAAGAAAATGTGTTTTATACATACACAAACACATACACACACACACATACACACACACACACACACACACCATGGAATACTACTCGGCCATAAAAAAGAATGAAATAATATCTTTTGCAGCAACTTGGATAGAATTGCAAGCTATTATCCTAAGTGAAGTAACTCAGGAATGGAAAACCAAATGCCACATGTTCTCACTTGTAAGTAGGGGCTAAGCTATGACTATGCAAAAACATACAGAGTAATGTAATAGACATTGGAGACACAGAAGAGAAGAGAATGGTAGGAGGTAGGGGATGAAAACTTACCTGTTGGGTACAATATATGCTATTTGGGTGAGGGGTACACTAAAAGGCTGGACCTCACCACTGTACAGTGCATTCATGTAACCAGAAACTACTTGTACCCTCAAAGCTATTGAAATGACAACAAATTAATAAATGCTGTAAGCAGAATACAATGTATGTCATAAATACACAGAGCATGTATGTGATGCATTTATGTGATTTTAGCCATATTTGATGATTTGATATATGAGGTTAGGAGGCCTTTAACTAGAATATACCTGGATTTTGGAGACGTGAGTTCCGTAGTTCCTGTGTACTGTGAAATTTCTGGATGCAAAACTTCTTAAATTTTGCAGTGCACAGCAAAATGGAACCATCTTTTCTGGGCACATGACAGAAATTAAAAGGAGCAGGGGCTAAGTTCAAAGGGATATAATTAATGTCCTAAAGGGGTTAAAAGCATAAACTTAATCATTCCATCATCAGGTGACCTGCCAACATGAGAACATTGCTGAATCTTGTACAAGTTAGATTCAGGAGAAAGTGGTAATTCTTCCATGTTTAGAATTACTTGTCAGGCTCACTTTAAGGATACATAAATCTGAGTTTTTCCTGGTGACAACCAGCCCAATCAAAGAAAGCATGTGTTAAATAGAATGAAATTACATTGTAAGTCAGTAAGCCCAAATTAGAATAGCACTGTACAACTTCCCTCAGTATTGTGATTCCAAAGTTTTGTTATACAAGTGAAGTTAGGAGACAGATTGGGAGACAGACATCGTAAATGTTAAAGAATGGTTGTGATGGAGGTTACTAAAGAGCTAGCTATGTTGATAAAATGCATCAGATTATTTATACCTAAAATGTATGGAAATACAAATGTTGGAAACAAACATCTCAATGAAGCTTTCTACAATGGTTTTGTGTGACTCCATTTAAACATAGATTACTAAAATTACTGTAAACTAGGAAGTACAGAATCTCTAGATAAAAGCTGAAGAAAGCATTGAAAGGACATAATTCACATAAATCATGATCTGGGAACATCGCTTAAAAGATGTAACAGCATTTTCTTATCACAGGGATCCTTGCCCACTGATGAACAAAAACTTTCTGATGCAACTGTTCTTTACATTCTTTCTACCCTTTTATCTTGGAATGCAGCCGAGGATACTTGGCATAATGTGTTGTACAGTGACCACTACACAAATTGTGAAACTGACTTTGCAAAACTTATATCAATGAGAGAATTATGACAGTGAAAGAGATCTGAGCTAATCCACCCCCGTCTTACCTTTCCCTTAATTATTCCTGCATTATTGGGCCTAGCTGATGAATCAAGGGCATGGTCTGCAAACTATCTCAATAATTGATCTTGGGTTTTACAATAGCGATGTTATTCCCAGGAGCAATTTGGAGAGGTTCAGACACTTGAAGCAAGAGATTGCATGACCCCTAAAACTGGAGAGGTTCAAACACTTGAAGCAAGAGATTGTATGACCCCTAAACTGTAATTTATAATCTTGTAGCTAATTTGTTACTCCTACAAAGGCAGGCAAGAAGGGGTCCTATTCAGGAAGGGGCCATTATCAATTTTGTTTCAGAGTTAAATGAGAGACTAAATTTCTTCCCAAGGTTAGTTCGGCCTATACCCAGTAATGAAGAAGGACAGCTTAAAGGTTAGAAGCAAGATTGGGTCAGTTGGGTCTGATCTCTTTCACTGTCATAATTTCCTCAGTTATAATTTTTGCAAAGGTGGTTTCAAATCCATACTTATTTTTATCAGAAAATTCTGTGAAGTATTGTTCTGTGATTTCAAAATATTATGTTAGCTTTTGACAGCTTGGGAACACACCCATGCTATAAATTATGGCAAACTGTACTTGCCATGGTTTCATATTTCATTATATCACATGATTATCATGACAGTTTACAGTCTTATTTTCCTTTCTTTTGAGATTTGTTGTTAGGAATTGCATCTTTTGGAATGTCAATTTCAGTGATACTTATTGACTACTTACTAAGCAGGTATTACGTAGCTACTAAAATAAGCAAGCATCTATCTTGGAAAGAGCAAAATAAAACCAAATGAGGAAAATGCAATAGGAAAGGGGTGTAAAAATGCACTAAATATTTTCCTGAACTCTACATTCATTGTACTTATTTTTCTTTGTCACTGTTTGTATAATACAGGATATAATTAATTGGAATTTGGGTTTTTTGTTTTGTATTGTTTTGCCCCTGCCTGTGCCTGAAACTGCCTTTGCAAAATTATGACTGAGACAGTGAAAGAGATCTAACTTAACTACATCTTGCTTCCAACCTTCAAGCTGTCCTTGTTCATTCCTGGGTATAGGCTGAACTAGCTTTGGGAGAAACTTAGTTTATAGTTTAAAACAAGGACCATAACAACTCTTTCCCAAAGCAGGCCTCTTTGCCTGGGGACTAGATTGCCTTTGTAGGACTAACATTAGCCACAAGATTAGAAATTACAGTTTAGGAGTCATGCAGCTGGAAGCTACAAGATTCTGACCCTCCCTAAACTGCTCCTAAGATCAGTGCCTGAGGTGTTTTGCAGACCCTGCACTTGCTGGATCAGCCGGCACCACCCAGATCAGTAAACTGGATCATCAGATCTTGTGGCCCCCCCACCCAGGAACTGACTCAGCACAAGAGGACTGCTTCAACTCCCTATGATGTCATCCCTGACCAGTTAGCACTCCTGGCTCACTGGCTTCACTCCATCCACCAAGTTGTTAAAGTCTCTGCTCCTGGAATGCCCCTAAGACTGATTTGAGTAATAATAAAAGTGTGAATTGCGTTTTCTCTGTTGCAATTCCCATATTGAGAATTTGATGCTGTCTGGGTAGCAGGCAAGGTGAACCATTGGGAGATTACAAATTTGGGTGCTCATCTGGAATTGCCCTTGTGGCTACCTCTGCCCATGGTTTGGTACCAGTCTTTTTTAAGGCTTCCCTTTTAATGAAAATAAGTCCCCAAAGCATTTATTTTCTAACAGAGAGCAGCCTGTAAAATCGAGCTGCAGACATAGATAAGCAAGCTAGACACTTACACAGGTGAATGATGGCAGCTATGCTAATAGGAAAAGGCTACTAAAAGCTAGGCATGTCCAACATATTGGCTCCATCTTCCCTTTTCCTTGCCAACCACATGTGCAGTAGGTTGTTTTTTTTCTGCCTTTGCTCCATCTT